CAAAACTTTGTCTTCAAAATAAGGGTGCGTCTTATATTCCGAAAAATACGGTATTTTATTTTGACGAACGTTTTGCATTTAATTATGGGTAATATTCTATGGAACCTACATGCTTGAAGAGTGAAAAGTTTGTTCGGTACTGAAATATAAAGAACGACATTGTCTTCTGATCGTGGTTAACAGAAAGTAATTTATTCGTCTTCTATCGAAAATCTGACATAATTTACACACCATAAATTACTACATTAACCCTATTAACAGTTGGCTTTCACATCCCTCTTAACGTAAACGTAACGGTTAAGATTTACTTCCTGAGTAACTTCAACAACCGCTAGCTACCAAAGTTTATCAACTTAAACATGTGTAAACTTATTTATTGTATTGGAAGAACAAATTAAGTTTAAAAATATGCAAGTCTGTAGATCTAAAAAAAAAGGCAAAGACAATTATTTTGTTTATTAACATAATGACGAAGTTACCATAACGAAGTTACCAGACTTCCTTATCCTACCTTTATAATTTAAATCACTAGTTGCATTTAATATATCCAAAAGTGATAAAATGTTAGTTTTATCATAATAACTACATCGTTCCACCAATAAAACACCGATTAGCATTTATACAAAACAAAAAAAGTCTGATACTTTGTCTTACGACAAGTATAATTTAATACCTGTGTTTTATCCAGTATATATCAATGACGGCAACAATGATCATACAACACTTTATAATTAAAGTCATTTTTTCTATATTGACCTAGATATTCAACACTGACGACTCCTAACGGTAAATAACCTATATAAGTTTATTTTTTTAAAACCATCACCAATTATATTTTCCAATAAAACTATATACCTAAACAGCATATAAATAATTGCCATTTTAGTTATCTGAAAAAAAAAATCACAATAAATCTGCAAAAAAAAAAAGAAAAAGATACCCTGCTAAATAAGTTGTCAATCATCAAAATTATTGAAAGTTAATTTTAAGATTCAAGAAAATCTTTATTTTTTTTTATTTTACAACCTTATTTTTCTAGGATGGTGAAATGTACAGATAAGTTTGGTAAGTGGTAAGTATAGGTAGGGTTAGCAACAATATGGTTCACAAGATAGAAAATAGAATCGCAGATGCCTCTACCATCTAAATTGCATCTATTATCTGTTAACAAAACAAATCAATAACCTCCTTCACAAGACTTCTTTCACCATCAAAGATTGGATTATGTTACATTCAAAAAAGTTGTCACAACTGTAAAGCCACTAATGTTGCCTACATTCAATAGATCCACCAGGTGGAAATCAAAGTTTAATGAAAAACATAAGCAACATGGTAACAACTGTAAACATCAATAATCAACTCTTCGAAAATGTAAACGTTTAATCATCTTCAGTGACGAGTGAAAATAAATACACTAAGAATGATAAATGCAAATGAACAAACAAAGTTTTTCATGTCTACTCATCTACGTTCATGTCCTGTCTTCTAAAATGCTTTTAAGGTCGTATATATTGGCAAAGCCAATTACATTTGCTTCCATGTGAACATATGGGCTTTTCCTATCCGCATACACGATGAAAACACCAACCACATTTAAAATCATAAATAATATTCAACGTTAAAACTGGTACACAATTAAAAACATTTTATCTAGGCCTATATGATGATGACGTTGCAACGTCGAAACATGTAGAGTTGTCAACTTTTTGAAGGCCATAGATAGGCTTAAATAAAATGTTTTTAA